TATATATATATAATATAATATAAATATAAACATTCCTTTTGTTTAGATCCTTATATCAAATGACATGGTCTACATGTCAAATGATTGAGTCATCAATATTGATGTAACAATCATGTCAATATTAAATTAGTCAATTTAATTTTAATATATCAATCGGTGTATTGTGTGGTTTGCACGTCTTAATTTTGTTCATCAAATCAAAACATTTAAGGTCTAAGTTTACTTTATATGTATATACATTGTGTTCCCATGACAGTCTTTTTCAAATTTCGATATTACAATCAAATTTATACTGATAATGACCTAAACAAAAGGTCAAAATGTTTATATTATTGTATGTATTTCACTGAAGTTACTTATAATTCACACAAACAATTAATGTTGGCTCACATTGGCAGTAATTTTACATATTTAGATACAATTTCTTGAGTCTACGTTCATATTGAATTATTAAATATATATACACTTTTTTCTTTATGATTATGTTCCTTTTCATATATTTGATAATGTTATGTCGTTATAACTATGATTATAGATATAATAGAGACTAAAAAGAATTTTTATATTTAAGGTTTGTCCTTTTTTGATTATACTTTGAAAATTTATATTTGCGAAATAAAGAAAAAAAAATAGAAAAAAATGCAAAAAAAATTACAATTGTATTTTTTTTATTGTTTTGATATTATGTTCCATTTTTTCTTTGACTCTAGGATTTGTTGATATAGTAAAAATAATAATAGTAAAATATATATAATGGTATACAAAAGTTTTCAATTTTGGAAAAGCGATAAGTCTTATAATCATATATATATATAATGTTAATACGAGATTTTGTTATCCACATCTTGTATTAATTTCCGATAAAGATAAAAATTTTATCAGGCATTTTTTTTATAAATTAGAGTGCAAAATGTTACTGGCTGGAAACTTTTGCATACCATTGTATATGTAAAACTAGCAGTGTGCAAAAAAATTAAGTTTAAAATTTCTGAACTTTTTGTCAGAATGCCTTACTATGGAGTGGCTAATGGTCGTTCAACTGGTGTTTATGATAATTGGTAAGAAAATTAATAAAATTGACAATTGTTTTTTTAGAATCAAGAATTCAAAATATTTTATATTAGGGAAGACTGCAAAGATCAAGTTCATGGATATTCTCATAACAAATATAAAAAGTTTGATACACCAGATCAAGCTTGGGACTTTGTTGACCAACATTCAAACGATGCTGGAAAGTCATTTGATACCAACAGTAAAGCTGTGGCCTGTCGAAATAACAATCAAGTTGCATTGAGAGGTCACAATGAAGTCAAACATTTTCAACGTACTGATTACTTGGTATGAAATAGAAATTATTTTTTTTAGAAAATACTAAAATTACATGTACTTTAACATTGAACAAAATAGTTTTAGTGATAACATTATTTCATGTTGTTTCAATTCTACAAACATTTTTCAAATGTTAAATTGAATTCTTTAACGCTATATATATTAACTGCTTTTAATATACAATCTCTTGTGATTGATGGTGACTGTTGATTTGCAGGAAGGAAAAAATGGTTATGTCGTACGTGAACGTTCTTACAGGAGTGGCAGAGACGGAAGAGGACGTTTTGTCGAAAAATATACACGTACTTACTGGGAAGACGATTAAAGAGTTACCATTATGAGACTATTCAGAGAACCTTCTTTTTTTTTTTTTTTAAGTTTGTAATATTATCTAGAGCATGGACAAAAAACTTACAGTTTATGAAAGTTCAGATCAATTATAGAATGTGTTATTTTAGTGTTACATGTTATTGGTTACATATAAGTTGATTACTCGTGTATTTTTTTTAAATATTCCACGAGATTAATAAATATTACTCTTATAATAAATATTATCCTACAACTACTTATTTCATAATCCTTAAAAAATCATAATGTGATTTTATTATAATGGTAATTTTCTTCTTTTATGAAAGTTTGTGAGCAGCCTTTTAGTCTATTTTTGCCTGGAAAATGGAATTTTTTTTAAAACTTGTTTTGGAATTTTTGTCATTCAATAATACCGTAACCTTTTTACCTATCCTTAAATTATTCTAAGATCAAGTTCATATTTCAATTCTTTGTGCTTATCAACATACACTTCTAGTCAAAACTATAAAATGCTTATGCCATACAGGTATACATGAAGTAGATGCTTAATAGGAGTCTAGGAATCAAGTTTATTTTTACTTGATGATTTATTTTAATACTTGAGTTTTTCTATCATCTTATATAAAAGCAACAAAATTAAATTTAATTTTTGTTAATTATATTTCATAAATATTAGAAATGCTTTTATAATAAAGCATTTATTTCAAATTATAATATTATGTTACATATTTATAATTAATAATATATTACATATTTAAAATATAATACCTAAAAGTATAAAAAAAACTCAAATTTTTCTTTATCAAACTATTTTTTTTATTAAATATATTTTTTAGCTATTTGGTATAATAGAAATAAAATCATCCTCACTGAGAAAAAAATAACTACATTTGAAAAAGGCGCCTTAAGAATAATGAATGCAATATAGGGAAATTTCAGAGCTTCGTTTTGTCACGTAGTGCTAGAATGTTTAGTATGTTTACTAACGGTTGTGTAGTATAACCTATATAGATATTTGTTTACATCCTTCATCAGCCACAAGCCAGTGGAAGACAGGCATACTTAATCATGTTTTACCACGTAAGTTAATTTCATACATTCCCTACAATCTATTATTATTTAATCAATAAAATTAATCGCTTTTTATTTCTTAAATAAATACAGATTTCGTTAGAACATGAAATTTTGTTACATCCTCGATACTTCGGTCCTCAATTACTCGATACTGTAAAGCAAAAACTCTATACAGAGGTGGAAGGCACTTGTACAGGAAAGTGAGTATCTTTTATATTTTATTTTGGTATTAAAAGTTGCGAAACCTTAAATTACTTATGCTTGTTTAGATATGGCTTTGTCGTAGCCGTCACAACAATTGATAATATTGGAGCTGGTATTATACAACCAGGACAAGGTTTTGTAGTATATCCAGTCAAGTATAAAGCAATAGTATTCAGGCCATTCAAAGGTGAAGTGCTAGACGCAATCGTAACTCAAGTGAATAAGGTATAAATAAATGTTTTTTGAAAAGTATAGAGAACAATCTGTTTAAATATTCATTCATTCATTAATTGCTAAATAACTTGTATTTTATGATTATTACATTTACAGGTTGGAATGTTTGCTGAAATAGGTCCACTTTCATGCTTTATATCTCATCACGTAAGTAATTGTAACAGTTATGAAATATAGTAATCAAGTATATATTACATGTATGACATGTATATATATATATATGTATATAAATTTAAATTTCTGCAGTCAATACCAGAGGATATGCAGTTCTGTCCAAATGTGAATCCAGCCTGTTACAAATCAAAAGAAGAAGTAAGTCGTGTCATAAAATGTTGCTTGTTACAACACAAATTTTGTAATTGTAAATTTGATGCTAATAAACTCAAATATATCTTTCAGGACGTAGTTATTCAGGCAGATGACGAAATTAGATTGAAAATTGTAGGTACAAGAGTTGATGCCACAGGAATTGTAAGTATTAAATTAAGGGTCTCAGCGCAAGATTGCCATAACACATTAAGACTTTCAGGACAATTAACAAGAGTATTTTTGACTTACTTACAAACAATTATATTACTTACATATATAGCACGTGGTAGTACACTATCAAAAGCGATGTCCATTAATTCCAATGTTATACGCCAAAGCTTGTGCGTTGCTTACATCTACAACTTAAGTCTATCTTAATGTGTTATGGCAATCCTGTGCTCAGACCCTAACACTGAATCTGTTTTATGTCAATTTACATATTAAATTTTTCGTTTCAGTTTGCTATTGGCACGTTAATGGATGATTACTTAGGTAACATAACAGAATGTTTTAAAGTAATTGTTTTGCAAGGGATTTAAAATTTAAAATTTTATGTATGATACTTATATTTTTTTTTTCAGGTCTTGTATGCAATTAGCATGGCTACAATCCGTGTCTCGTTTAAAAATATTTATTAAGATTATTTGAATAGATTTTATAAAATAGAAAATATAGAACTTTTAATTACCTTCAAACATACATAGGCAAAGAAAGGAGGCTTGATTTACAATTTGTCAACCTATCCTCACATATCTATCCATATCTTGCTTTCGTGTCTATTCCTCTTTATTCTAATTTACTCAACTAGCCTTCACTCATTTATTAACATTATACTTTAAAACCTTTTCTCTCTTACCTATTACCTTTTTAATCTTATTTTTGACTCAATATATTTCATCCTACTGGTGTTCCAATTTTCCTCCCCTCGTCAACTAATTAAAAATTCCCTCACTAGTCTTCTTGTATTTTCAACTCAATATTATACCTCGTTCAATCAATCAATTTATCCACGCATAATTTTTACTCAAGCTTTCTTTATTAATTTACTTTGCCTAACTACACAGAATTTCCTGTCTAGCCTTCCTGTATATTCCTGACTCGTTACCATGCCTCACAATTCTATCCCTTTCAATTCCTATTCTATTCCTTGCAACTTTTCTCTTTCTCTTTTAAATCCCTAACTAAAATCTATATTTATGCCTATATTTAAAACTAAATCTACATTTGATGCTCTCCTGCTCTGCCTCATGCATTTTTTTATCCAGAAATTCATATGTCTTTACCTCCATCTCATCCTCTTCATTCCTTGTGCTTTGTCCTCCTTATTCAAACTCCTTAAAATGTCCCATAACTTGCTTCTTATCACTTGTATCTTATGCCGTCTTCATGAATCGACCTGTGAACTTTTCTTTCTCTTGTTTTTTTCTTTTTTTTCTTTAAATCAAGTAGGTACTAAGGTAATAAGGTTATTACAACATTATTATCATTTGTTATATCCTTCCTTAGCTGAACCTCATTTTCTGGTATAATTCTTATAAATACATTCACCTTTTTCTCTAACTATTTTCTTCTTGCCTCTCTGTTTTATACTTTTATTTATATACTGAACACAGGAAGGATGTTTTCTGCGATATAATCCTCTCCTTGTAGCCTCTTCCATACGATAGTATCCTTATGCCATTCTTTCCATATTCAGGGAATCGTGTTTTCTTCATCCTTTATTCATTTATCCTTTATATTCACATTACTGTTCCATCCTTGATCCTTGCACTTATTTTCGATCCTACTTCCTCTTTCACATATGTCATCAGTTGCTTTTCATTCTTCTGTACCATCCAGTCGCCATTTGGAGATATGAAATATGAAAATATCTCTTGTCTTTTTCTGTTTCTATATTGCCTTCCATCCATGTTCTCTTATGTTCTCATCCGCTTGGTCCCAAATTTTCTTCCTAATACTTAACTATTTTTTATTTTCATTATTAATCTTTATTTACCCTATCCTATATTACTGCGCTTATCCTATTTTTATTTTTATCCTCAATTTCTATTGTTTCCTTTTTTCCATCTATTTATCATGTCTTTTATCCTTTCCTATTTTATCGATACCGGCCACATTGGCTTCTAGACTCATCGTACCCACTATCTAACCTTAACTGCAACTTTTTTTAAAAAGCCATACATATCTTATTATCCGCTTACTTCCTACTTATGTTTTCATTTTCACGTATAAACTTTACCCTACGTTTACTGTTTAACCACCTTTTAAGCCTCTCATCAGTCTTATTTCCTCTCATCGGTCCCTCACTTGTTTCACATATGCACTCACTCCTATTCCCTCTAACCAAATCTCTGAATAGGTTTTATATTCTGAAAACAATACAAGTATCTTAAATATTTCCTATTTTTTATAAATAGTGTGTAATATCGATATAATCAATTCGAAAAGATATGAAACTATAATAGTGTATAAAAAACTATATGCCTATATTTAAAACTAAATCTACATTTGATGCTCTCCTGCTCTGCCTCATGCATTTTTTTATCCAGAAATTCATATGTCTTTACCTCCATCTCATCCTCTTCATTCCTTGTGCTTTGTCCTCCTTATTCAAACTCCTTAAAATGTCCCATAACTTGCTTCTTATCACTTGTATCTTATGCCGTCTTCATGAATCGACCTGTGAACTTTTCTTTCTCTTGTTTTTTTCTTTTTTTTCTTTAAATCAAGTAGGTACTAAGGTAATAAGGTTATTACAACATTATTATCATTTGTTATATCCTTCCTTAGCTGAACCTCATTTTCTGGTATAATTCTTATAAATACATTCACCTTTTTCTCTAACTATTTTCTTCTTGCCTCTCTGTTTTATACTTTTATTTATATACTGAACACAGGAAGGATGTTTTCTGCGATATAATCCTCTCCTTGTAGCCTCTTCCATACGATAGTATCCTTATGCCATTCTTTCCATATTCAGGGAATCGTGTTTTCTTCATCCTTTATTCATTTATCCTTTATATTCACATTACTGTTCCATCCTTGATCCTTGCACTTATTTTCGATCCTACTTCCTCTTTCACATATGTCATCAGTTGCTTTTCATTCTTCTGTACCATCCAGTCGCCATTTGGAGATATGAAATATGAAAATATCTCTTGTCTTTTTCTGTTTCTATATTGCCTTCCATCCATGTTCTCTTATGTTCTCATCCGCTTGGTCCCAAATTTTCTTCCTAATACTTAACTATTTTTTATTTTCATTATTAATCTTTATTTACCCTATCCTATATTACTGCGCTTATCCTATTTTTATTTTTATCCTCAATTTCTATTGTTTCCTTTTTTCCATCTATTTATCATGTCTTTTATCCTTTCCTATTTTATCGATACCGGCCACATTGGCTTCTAGACTCATCGTACCCACTATCTAACCTTAACTGCAACTTTTTTTAAAAAGCCATACATATCTTATTATCCGCTTACTTCCTACTTATGTTTTCATTTTCACGTATAAACTTTACCCTACGTTTACTGTTTAACCACCTTTTAAGCCTCTCATCAGTCTTATTTCCTCTCATCGGTCCCTCACTCCTATTCCCTCTAACCAAATCTCTGAATAGGTTTTATATTCTGAAAACAATACAAGTATCTTAAATATTTCCTATTTTTTATAAATAGTGTGTAATATCGATATAATCAATTCGAAAAGATATGAAACTATAATAGTGTATAAAAAACTATATTTAGATAGAATTATAATAATTTGAACATTTTTATGATTGTTAAAATAAAACAACTCTCTCAAATAAATTATAATAAATATATTATATATAAAATAAAGTACGACATATATATATTTTTTAAAAAACATTAATTTAATGATATTATCTTACGTGTTATTAACAATTTATAGAAACAAAGTAGATGATATCATATACAGCCTCAACTAACTTTGTTAAACAATTGTCTCATTTTCTAACATTTTTCAAATATACTGCAATATAATTGTCATATCTTTTTACAGAGTCACTAATGCAAAATTGTATGGACATAGCTATTGCTGAACAATTAAAAACCAGATATAGGTAGTTTATAATCATACAAAGATACTGTTTAGGTAATGTACATCTTTTTTAATTCACATATTTCTTATTTACTACTGATCATCATATCGTAAGGATGTATTTGCAACAAAATTGATACGCCAGCAACATACAAATTGATGCGTGCAAAAAGCATTGTTCTGTTTGTTGTAACAATTTGAATAAAATCATATAATTCGAGTAGCTGGCAGTGATAACAATTTTAATGGTACTTAATCCATAGACTCTTCGTTGCTACCAAATATGCTTGCGAGACCTGTAAATAGCGCTAATTTCGGTGCAATACGTAGATCTTCTTTTTTCACCACTGTATCCTGATCGGGCATCATCTTGTCCGCAATATGCTTATAGATTTTTCCATTAGCATTAACATGAAAAGTAGAGAAGCCATCGTACCATCTGAAATAGTTCCCATGAACATTATTTTCATAAGCAAAGTTAATTGAAGTTTAGTATCAGTGCACCCTAATGAAGTGAACGGCATGGTTCACAAAACATTGGCATTAATAATGAAAAAAGACACGGCGATAACCCACAAATCTTCTGGTATAATTGAAGTTAATTGAAGTTAAAGTGATGATAAATATTTTATTCTTAAAAAAAAACAGGCAGTTTAAGATAGTATAATACACGTCTAATATAGAATTAAAAAAGTTTTTTTCAAATCTAGTAAAAACTGTGATTAATTTGGATTAATGTTTATAAAAATTTACAATTTTATTATAATTATGTTTCTCCATTAACATTAATTATGTAATGCAAATACTTACACATCCTGATTGGTACTTATAGCATCTTGCATTTTCCAGATTTTATATTTCCAAAACATAGTGAACACTTTCCAGCCCGTGACACCTCGTATACGCCAACGAACCTGAATGGTATCAGTTTCAGGATGCATTGTTATCTTTATGATATCTAATTTGACAAATGCAAACTTTATGTGACCAACTAGCCTAACCAGCATTAATTGTTTCACATAGTTGTTAAGCCCCCTGAAATAATTTTTAAGTAGATATACGAAGAAATATAAATATTTGCAATGTTAAACATTCTTTATTGTTTTAGATAAATTCATTTATGTAATAAAATTAAGTTACCTTGTTGTTACTCCTCTAATATTGTTGATAAAAACTATATCATCAGAATATATTGAAAAATTTAGAGGTTTCACAAATAGCTGTGGTAACTACAAGTAATACTTCAATCAGAAAATAATAGTCTAGCTCATAGAATTGTCTAGCATAAGAGAATCTCTTATCCTAGACAATTATGCCTCAAAGGTATTTCAGAATTATTGTACTTTGCTTCTGAAAGAGCATGATTATAAATTCGGAGAATCTAAGTCAATGAAAGTACAATAATTCTGAAATATCCTATAAATCACATGACATACACACATCTTGATTAAGACAATCAACTACGGATTGCAGTTGTTCCTGCGATGGTTTACCATCGGTTTCTTGTGGTGATTGTTGCGAGCTCATTTTTAGAATACTTGTATCATCAGAAATAAATACGATATTTTTGTCAATATTTGTTTTTTGATTACTGTGTAAACTTTTTAAAGAAATCATCTTATTATTACATAGAAATGAATTATCTTTATTATTTCTTATAACATTTTGTACCGGAAACGTTTTAACATTGTTTGGGGTAATTCCTACAGGAACTATGTGATTCCTGCCTTGTGAGAAGGCAGTGCTAAGCCTTTGCGAGTCATGTAGCCTATGTGGGCTTTGGACCCAATACATCATTGTATTTTTGCTCTCATCATCAGAATATCGTTTGACTAGCTTTTCATTCCATTGATTGTGAATGTCAAAATGAGCTAGCGATAAATTTGAAGGCAATGTACATCCTGCAAAAGGTATTGACTTTCCTGTAGTGTTTGCTCTTACAGATAGTGTTCTCTGTGTACCCAAGAACTGAAAATTTATAGATATTGTAAGAATTTACAGCAGTAGTTATAAAAAAACTAGAACATGAAAAGATTATAAATTGGTAATTATTCATATTAAGTATCACGGCAGTTATATATATATATATATATATATATATATATATATACATATACATATGTTAGATTTATTAGTACTCATGTCATAACGGTTTCTATTTTTAAACTTGAAATACAACTTGTCTAGTTTGTACTTGTCATCTGTTAGAGATCTATTGCCATAAATTTACAAGCAGATATTTCTTGCATTTTTACTATAGAACAATTTACTTCATATAAGTATATAATCGAAAGAGAAAATGCATATTTTCAGAACATTCTGTATACTACACATCAACAAACAGTCCGATATGTATAAGATATTTTCATTTTTGCGACAACATGACATGCGATGCCTGTCATTAAATCACACTTTGATCATGACTTAACAAGAATCAGGTAGCTCGGTAAGACTTTGTCGTTGTCGCAAAAATTACAATAAAAATTTGTGTTTAACAGATCGGCGAATTTAACGTCGTCGTCGCTGCGAAGTCACGCGATTATATAAGTATTTGGAGGTTAGGTCAATCAGTCGCTGGCAAGTATCGTCTACATACTGTAACGTAAAATTTGTCAAACGGAACTGGTCACGCACGCGACGCACCTGCTTCAAGAAGGCGGACGATTCGATGTTCTTTTGCAGCTGATTACGATCGAGCTTTGACGGCGTTTTTCGGCCGCCGCCGCCGCTTACGAGCGACGACAGCCGGCCAGGCAACGTGCGAAAGCATAAAGACATATTGCGCGATCGCGCGTGCTAACAGCTTATTCAGATCAATGACATATTCCACGCCGGCCCGCAAAAACACAACGCTGTACTAACTACTGTTCAATGATCCACACGCGTGCTCTTCAAGTTTCTCAACGCGGTTCACGCGGTTGTCCTTTTCGGCTCGAAGAGCTCGGACACGTTCTTGTGCGCTTCGCGAGATAGCGCTCATAAGGTAGCGCTACTAACTTGCGGGATATTTCAAATTGGAATGCATTCGGGCAAAATGCTATTAATGCTATTTATATAATTTTCATATCTTTATCATTTTTTTAAACATAAAATGAGGATAGAATGACGCATATGGCGCTAATAATATCTTTCTGAACCTAACCTTGAAGTCCTGGTAACATATAGATACATTTGTATAACATATATACAAATTTGTAATTTGTTTATTTATTGCTTATTCAAGACTTATTTATATATTTAAACAATATTGTAAAAAATATTTAAATAATTAGAGTATCAATTAAGGCTAAAGAACTAAGCCAGTTATTGTTAATGCTTACAATTATATTTACAAAAGTGAAAATAAAAATAAACATTTATTAATATAAAAAATAAACGGACATTTCGACCTTTTTATATCAGGTTATCTTCAGTGTCACAAATTAATTTAAAATTACATACGAAATTGGTTAACAGAAATTGTGTTATAATATCCACATTCTGAACCGTACATCAAATTCTTCCGAACCTAATGTATGTATACGTATTTATAAAATAAGGTTGATGCAACTTCGATGGTGTGATTCTCTAATTGTTGCGATTAAAGAAATGTGTTGTGTAATCGGCAGATTTCTGTCTTGATTGACCATTTAGTCAATAATATAATATAATTGTAAGCATTAACTGGCTTGGTTCATTGTTACTCTAATTATTTGAATTTATTTGTTAGTCTTCATTAAAATTCAATGTTGAAAAAAAAAATTTATTTCACTCTCCCTTGATTCTCTCTGAGAGCGTTACAATATAACATATTTTTGAAACAGTTCAAAATTCGTGATACATAATATTTTTTATTTCACATAACTGTGTTTCTTTTTAGCTTTCTTCAGATTTCGCTTCTTGTCTTTTAATTTATATATATATATATTTTATACATAAAAAATTTTTCACTGAAGTATATATATTTCTTAGAAAATATATATTTGTGAAAGAATATAAATGTATATGTAAAATATAAATAACTTCAAAATTTTACGTATATTTCTGACAATAAAATAAAATCGCAGGCGAATATAAAACATTATCTCACTAAATTCGTACGATTTATTTAATATTTTATAACATCTTTATATATATATGTATGTTACAAAAATGACAAATGTAATTAATTTGTAAACCTCGAAAATATAATACTATAAATCTTGTATCATAATAGCAAATATTTAACCGACTATTTTCTTAGAAATTATAACACAATATTTTTATATTAATATTTTATTTTTTTATTTTACAAAATCTATTGTAAATCAAGAACATATAACATGCAACATTGTTGAATTCTAGTATAAATATAATAAAACTCAACACGCTTAATTTCGTATATTCCTTCATGCAACAATTTTGCATATATCAATATATGCAGTACATACTAAGGCTTAATTTTATTTTTTTATTATTATGTAACACATTAATATTTATATATAAGTACATATTATGGAAATTTTGTTCCAAATGGACTTCATTTTCATTAATAATATGTACATATATGCATATAGATAAATCATCTTTGACTCAACCTATACATATTTTTAATAACTATATAATTAAATATCTCTTCTCTCTCGCGCGTTAAGTTTTAAAATCGACTAAATTTTATATACCTATGCTATTTTATATCTAAGTTTAAATGCTTATATCACTTATTTCAGATCTTAGATCAGATTTTCTAATTTTTATAAATTTTATTTCTTCTAAAGAATTCTTTCCAAAAAAATAATACTTATATTAACAAATTCAACGCTTACAATCTAATATCTAATTTAATCATCTTAACACTTAGCAAAAAACAGTATCTCCATTCTATAATTTATCTCTCTATTATTTTTTCATTTTTTTCTTTTTCATTTCCAACTTTTCTATGCACACGAGGTCTGCTTCAAAATGAGATTACAATCTTTCATATTAATCTACCATTTAAATATTTCTAGATATACTATATTATTTGCTATAATTATTCACCAAAGCTCAACTTTTGCTTAATTTCCAATGCCAGCTTGTATCCGAGCTCTGGTCGTCGGTCTCTTCCTTCCACCATGGCCTTCACCTGGCTGGAGTTTACTATCACGCCATTGCTGCCTATTACGGTGGCCTTGGTTTTCTCGATGTCGACGAGGTCCACACCGCGGCTGCAGTCATCGATCAGTATAGTGCGATAACCACTGGTGAGCGCATCTACTGCAGTAGCGCCCACGCAAACGTCATAAGCCAATCCGCAGATGTAAATATCGGTGGCGCCTTTTTCCTGTAGCTGCGACGACAGTGTGGTCTCGGTGAGCTTCTTGTTGTCCCAGAACACCGAATATGAATCGACTTCTGGATTCGTACCCTTGTAGATCTTGATTGCTTTGTCGACGATCTTCAGGTCCTTGTGAAGCTCAGCACCCCAGGAATCCTGCACGCAATGACGCGGCCATAGACGTTGCTTCAGCAACGGTGGTCCTTGAAACGTTACTGTGTCATACACCCGCGCCGCTTCCTTCGAGATATTGCTGCTGATATCTACCTCTCTGATAACGACATTATTTACTAATGAATATCAATATGCAAAGACTTTCTTTTCGCTACTTTTTCTTTCTTTATAATTGCCTGCTTCGTATTTTTTATATTAATGAATAAGTTTTAATAGTTAAATAAAAATACAACAATTAAACATAGAACTTAATGTTTTAAGACTTAAGTTTATACAGATATATCTCAAGATAAGATATGATAATTACCGTTTTACCGTTTTACATTTTGCAATATATTGAGATATAATTACCTCAAGTGCAAATTATCAATGAAGGATACATGGTCCACCGGATGCCAGTCCAAGGAATAAAATACTGCATCGAACGGCACAGTTTCCAGCAATCGATTAATTGGGTCAATGACTTCAGAACCATCATGTTGTGCAGCGCACTGCTTTATGTTCAAAGAACCTGTTATAAAATCATTTTGTACGTCCACAATGAGGAAAGCGCTTTTGGGACGCGTGCATACTTTGATCCATCGATTCCAGCAGACCTACAAGTTAGACCAATAGAAATAATTTTATACAAATGTGTACATGCATGTATAAGTATTAAGTAAGTCAATGTAAAGTTTTGAATACAGCACTTCAGATATATTTATAACACTAACTAAATCATGTGAAAATATTCCATTACCTTTTCAGATAAAAGCAGGAACAAAATTGTTAGAAAAATATAACTAATAATATATCTTTTATTATTTAGAGAAAAAATTTAAATTTGAATTACTTTTTCTATATTTTATATCTCAAGCTCTCTCTTAAAATGAGTTATCTAATTAATAACATATTAAGCATTCCTTATATACCTCGAACTCTTCCCTGTCGATCAAGCCGTCACCTTTGAGGTCAAAAATTGAATACACTTCGCGCAGTTGATCCTCCTCAAGGCCGTAAATCTTACCGCGGTCATTTCGAAATAATGCGCGGCATATGAGATCAAATTCGGAAATCGACAGGAATCCGTCGCCGTCTTTATCGAAGGCATTGAAACACGCGTCCATGTCTCTCGACGCTACTTGTCGACTACCTGTTTCCAAGTTCTACTTGTTTAATCAATACTCAGATTAGCGTTTGTCCGATCACTTTACACCTGGACCGCTTCGACAAATATAGATCTATCGATGAAAATACTGCAGTATTTTATATATAATACTTATCGTTGTTATCTGCAATATGTTATAATCTAGCCACTCGATTTTGTTGAAGAGAAGTAAGTGTTTCACAAGTATCCACTTTTGTTGTCAAATCAATTTATTATCAAATGGCTCGGTGTATATTACAATATTATATACGAAGTTGCTTTATTTATGTCTTTTACATTTTAAGATATAGCAAATAAAAAAGGATTAATTTTATTCTTTATTGTAGGTTTAGATCTGTATCTCATAATTATCCATTTTACAATATTATTTCATTTGGGCCGTGATATTACACAGACTGCGCAAGTCTCTGATGCGTCAACAACGACACGTCGACTATTGCTTCGGGATGCAACAATTCGTGTATATCGTATTTCGAGGATTCTTCGTAAGCATACGTCACGGAGGTATCGGATAGTAGCATATTGCAATGCGCCAGGATTAAGATGCAATTACGTAACCGTGTGCAGACGTTGCGATTTTCTATCGGAATTTTCGACAGATCTTCCGTAAAACCTCCCTCGGATTTATCGACGTTTTGAATGTTTGCACTGATCCATACATAGCCGTTGTAGCCGAGTATCAAAGTAGCTCCGCTTTCTAGAGTGTGATAGTGTGTCTTCTTGCGTTGTATTAACATCGGCGGTACCTTTAACATTATCCCCTGGGACAGCTTGCCATACTTCAACACTCGCGTATGTAGAGAAAGCGAGCCGTCGGCAAAGATTGATTGCACTTCTGCGCAAATCAAGTCTCCTTCCTGCAAATATCTGCGCATTGTCTGTTCATCTTCAGCAGATCTTCTTCTCTGCAAGTTTAAAAAGTGTTCAAATATGATATATATTTTAAAGCTTTCATGGGTATTATCTTCAAAAACACCAAAAGATTTCAAGGGTTATCAATTCACAAACCCTCCAGTATCTTTCCAGCAAACACCAAGTTATATGTGCATGTTAGTTGTAATTTCTCACTCAACAATATAACTGTAATATAATATGTGTGTTATGTTACAGTTATATTATTGAGTGGGAAATTATAACTAACTTGTATGTTACATGTAACTTGGTGTTTGCTGGATTTAAAGTAATAAAAAATATATATATATATGATATATATTGAAAGACCAGTTGCATTTTTGTATTATTTTAATCAGTATTTACTAAATAAAAAGTTTTATATAAAACTTAATTACAGGAATATTTAATAATACTGAAATATATATTTTTTTTATTAAGAAATATTTGACTACATTAAAGAATAACAATAATAAATAGTAAGATAATAAAAAATAGTATTTTTTTTAAGTAAAAAACCATCAATTATATCTAATAAAACAATTTAATAATAAGTCAAAATCGAGCATATATAAAAATAATAAGTTATTATATATATATATATATATATAAATTAAAAAAAGTAATAATTACATTTTAAAAAATTCTAAATAGATTCTAAAATCAACTTAAATATTATTAAAAAAAACTTAATCTCAGGATTATTTTTGTGCATTTGGGAGAAAAAGATTTAAATTTCAATGTATTATCTCACCCGCATATATAAAAATAATTATAATAATGAGGCTCTTTCTATATAAAACAAATTAAAAAATTCACAGGGCATAGAACCAATTAAGTGAATTAGAAAAAGAAAATTAATCGCATATCAAAATAATGATTACATGTATACAAAAAGTTCTATTCAAACATTTCGACTCCAATCGGATCATTCTCAATGTTACAATAAAAATTCAAATTAAGATCGCAAATTATGAAAATCTATAATGTACAATTAATGTGTCATAAAGTCGTACGACAATAAATAAAAATATTAAAAATTGTTGAGCGATAAAAGCAGTCATTACAGTAAACATTGTAATTATAAGCTTCAATATTCTGTATTGTATCATGTTTAAAATCGTTGTTGAAAGAATTATTTGGCAATAAAACAAAATTAATTTTAGAGAGAATTAATGTAACAGTGGTGATCCACATCTTGGTAAAACGTGACAGTTATTAAATTCTGATAGGAGCAAGATTGCAGATGATGTGTTAAAAACAAGTAACCTCGACGATGTTTGACAACGTAATGTATAACTTTGTGATACAACACATTAAGAGTACCGAAGCTTATAGATCTTCATAATTTGTAATTTTAATTTGAATTTATTGCAACATTGAGAATGACACGGATCGGAATCAAAATATTTGAATAGAACTTTATGTATATTTGTAATCATTATTTTGGTATGTGATTAAAATTTCTTTCTTTATTTTACTTAATTGACCCTATGCCCTATAAACTTTTTAATTTGTTTTAAATTTCAATGTTTTGTACAATTGTTTAAAAAACAGAAATGTTTCATTTGTACATATATATCTTACCAATTCACCACCAGGCAAATTAACACTGGACAACAATAGGACAGCGTCAAGTTTAGCATTTATATCGACTTTCCAACGCTTCTGTTGTACTTCTGTTATTCTTCCCACAACAAGATCTCCGATCTCTCCATTATAACGTGCCTTCAAGGGTCTAATTGAAATAAGTTTGTTCACCTTTTCCAAAATCCCAGCGACTGATGCACGCAACGTTTTCTCATCATCAACGTAAGTTCCATGGCCTCTTATTAAATAATCAGTTCCAATTAATTAAACAATTGATTCTAATTAATTACATAATCAATTTCATAATCGATGTGTTGTATAAAATCAAAGTAGCCAACTTATCTACCTTAGAAAATCTGGCTGACTGGATATCTCCTCGCCGGGAGTGTAAAGTCGTGGCTGGATGCCATCATTCGTAATTAGGTTATAGTCTACCCTGTTTACTGCCAGACGTACATTAATGGGCGGATATTCAGTCATTATATAATGCCGTATCGTTCTCCTCACGGAGTAACAAAGAGATCAAGGCACCAAGGAGATCAAGCTCAAGCGGTCGGCCATGAAAACATCGAAACAGATCGAAATGTAGGTTAGCAAAATGTAGGTTAAGAAAGAGAGAGCGAAATGTATGTCACGTGACAGTCAATACTTCCAACTTTTGCCGCAATGGCGCTAAAATCACATCTTCTCGATTTTCCATGGGGTTTTACGAAACCGTGTTTCGAGCCCATATTTATCTCTAATATTTATCCTCGAGCTTGATCTCCTTCTTATTACTCCGTGGTCCTCCTATTCATTAACTGGAGACGAGAGCCATTAATTAAAGAAGTCATTATACAATAATATTGACAAAATTCAATTTCCCGATTGCTCTCACCAGGTTTCTCCGAGTATCATCTTATCCTTGTTATTCATTAAACAAGGATAGGACGATACACAGAGGTACTTGAGTGATATTTCCGAACGCAATCCAAATACTCCAGGTATTATTTTATCCTTATTGTTTACTGAACGTTAGACAAGGATAACATGATATCTGCGGAGCACCTGGAAGCACCCAGGTGGAATAAACTCGACTTTAGGAAAGCCGAAAGAGTGCCATATCACTAAATTAATATACAATTCTCTCATTAGCATAGACTTATAAGATAGACGGAGCGTTCATACGAGAGAAGCTGAAGACTTGATAGAAAGAGAGAGAAATAGTCGCAGAGTAGTTCTCTTCTTTTCTAGTAGTGAATTGATTGGTCGTCGCGGCAGGTCGGGGAGTAGCCGAGAGTAACGAAGATAGATATCCGAGACCGAGTATTAAGGGTGCTTTCCGAAATTTGCTGACAATGCTGACAGTACCACTACTGAAATCACTACATTTTAGCCGGTCCGAAATTCGCAATAGAACTGACAGCAGTTAAAATCGGAACGCATTTGCAGTAATAGTGCGTGATATGTATAGAACTTAACCTAATTTATTATAATAAATTTCATAGGATTCCAGTATTTCTAATGTAATTCCGTTTTCGGGTTTGTTTCTGCAATTTATGAGTAAGTTTTAACTAAAAAAAGAAAATTCCGTTATTGTGTAACGGCAATTGTAATACCGATTTTGATTGGCATTCAGAATGTCATATCTAATGTCATATGTGTGGAATATAGTTCCGAGTGTTCCGACAGTTCTTCAGATGATGACGATGAGTATATTTTAAATATCTTAAATCAAATTTCGAAACGAGGATTATTGATACCAAGAGCACGTAAGAAAAATTATATTGCACAAAAACTGTCTTAAAATTATAAGTCACGTTTCTGCTAAGGGCCTTAAGCCGTAATCACACTAGCGATTGAGCGATTGTGATTGACGATTGAGGATTACTTTTCAACCAATCAGAGCAAAGCAGTCACCGATTGCTTTGTTCCGATTGGTTGAGAAGTAATCCTCAATCGTCAATCACAATCGCGCAATCGCTAGTGTGATTACGGCTTTATGTATACCTATATGCCAGTAGCCTTTAGCGGGGAGCACAGACTTTTGCTTAACGCATAAACCATATACATAAAGAATTTGATTGGTCCATTGACTCATGCATAAGAAAATGGACCAATGAAATTCCTTATGCACATGCTTTATGCGTTATGCAAAAGTCTGTGCTCTCCGCTTTTGACTTAGATTAATGGCTCCCGCCTCCAAATAATAAAATAGGAGATCGATACGACAGAGGTAAACGGGGAGCACAGACTTTTGCATAACGCATAAAGCATGTGCATAAGGAATTTCATTGGTCCATTTTCTTATGCATGAGTCAATGGACCAATCAAATTCTTTATGTATATGGTTTATGCGTTATGCAAAAGTCTGTGCTCCCCGCTGTAGCACTATACCACAGTATATACAGTAGCGCAACTCTCCTGATTTTGTGAAGCCTAAAATGAAGTGCGCATGCGCGGCCGAGGCGCGTAACCAATCAGGGCACTGTATTCTATCTCACTTCTTCTTTCTATTGTCGGTGTCTGTCAGTCCCATTGAAATGTCCATATAAGGCATTTAAAGGACCATTTGACGAAAAGTGGCGGGAACGCGACGAATTTTATGTGAGAAACAGTGAGAATAGTGTTACGTGTGATAAAGTGATAAGTGATACGTGTTTAATTTTAATAATTATTCAGTGTATTCAGACGTGTTTAAGAAAGTGTAAAAAAACAGAGAATGTAGACCGAGTTAGCTTTACGGAGAATAGGTTATCTGTACAAAAATAGTACAGATTTCAGATTCTCTTGAAGCACTTTGATCTTAGCTTTCTGTTACAGATATTTGGAGAGATTTTAAAAGGCGAAAAAAATGTGTGCTCAAAAATCAAGCGGATGGTGTGTCGTAAAGGACTGTAATAAAAATATTGTGGAAAAACGACACTTTTTTCGGTTTCCAAAGGAACATGACAGGTACAACCTTTTATTTCATTTATTTTCTAAAACATACGAATTTATTGTATATTATGCTATATATTAACATATATTTGGAATATTCAATATTTTTTAATTTCTGTATACAACATATATGTATACATATAATAATAAAAATTTATATATATGTATATATAATTTTATAAGAATTATCTACACAGGCTGTTTTTCTTTAAACTGATATAGAAACAAAATATAACAGAGCTTTGTACAGCTAATGTACAATTTTTTAATCAAAATGATTTATGGACTGATTCTTATAATTTAAATAAAATTCCTGTCGCGATATTATCTGTAAGTACACGAGTATTATTTTAGTTTCGTTTTTAATATCTTTTCCTAATTACTATAATATAATTTATTGTTTTTTGATAGAGCGATGATAGTAGAATTATTAAAAACTTGACTTAAGAATAAAAAAAAATTTTATCTTAACAATAATAAACTGGAAATTTATAATTCATGTAACAGTTTGTGTATTATTTATTTTGTTACATTTATACCTATCTATTTAATAGCTGCGTTTGGTAACGTAAATCTGAGGCGTCGGAGTGCTCTTATATTATAGCATATGTCACATGTACTGTAGAAAAAGAGCACTCTGACGCCTCAGACTTGCATTGCCGAACGCAGGTAATATAAATATGTCTAGGGTAAAGCATGGAGCTATTTCGTTCATTTTTTATAATATTGTCGATGCAAGGAATAGACAGCTGACTAAAATTGTGTACATCAATGCCTACTAATGTCTAAGTAATACCCAAGTAATGCTCCAGTAATATTCAAAATTTGTACACCGTAATGTCTCCTCAGCAGTTTATTCCTCATATTTATGTTTCTCAGCAGCGTATACTGAACATTTAAAGATCATACTTGTACTCTCAAAAATCAATCATGATTTCATAAGGTAATTATAAACATGTTACTGTAAGATATTATTTTACATTATCTTAAAATTGAAAATGATAAAATAGTTTTGTTCTACTCTATATATTTTTAGTATTTTAATATTTTTTTGTATATATTGATACTTTATTAAATATAAAATTAATAAAACATTTTAAATAAAGATTATTGTATTAATAATTTTTTTGAACAGTTATAATTTTTATATAACAAGGCTCAATAAATTTAAAAATTAATTAATATAAAATAGGGCTACGAGCCAAATATTAGTTAAAATACAAAGGTCTTAGTAATAAACAGTCATTAGTTAAAAATAAATATAAAATTTAATAAAATTCAAAAACAGACGTTTCGACCTTAATTAGGTCATTATCAATGTTAAGTCGCAATATCGTTAACGATGTACAAACAAAGAAATTATAAAAATTCACGAATACATAAGTAAAAATATTAATAAAAAACGAAAAATAAGAATATACATTCTGTGATGTGGGTATTATTATTAATTTTATCTATTACTGACTGTTTTTATATTATATGACTCTTATATTATATTCTTTTGTTATATTCTTTTATTAATTTTATCTATTACTGACATTGTTTTTATATTATATGACTCTTATATTATATTCTTTTTGTTATATTCTTTTATTAATTTTATCTATTACTGACGTTGTTTTTATTATGCTACTATTTGATTTAGAAATGTGGAGTTTCACAATTTACAATATTTGATGTCTTGCGTTGTCGATGGACTCTTGGACATTTTACTCCGATACGATATGTTCTTCAATAGCGAGTGAGATTAATAATACCCACATCACAGAATTATCAATGCCTACTAATGTCTAAGTAATACCCAAGTAATGCTCAAGTAATATTCAAAATTTGTACACCGTAATGTCTCCTCAGCAGTTTATTCCTCATATTTATGTTTCTCAGCAGCGTATACTGAACATTTAAAGATCATACTTGTACTCTCAAAAATCAATCATGATTGTATAAGGTAGTTATAAACATGTTACTGCAAGATATTATTTTATATTATCTTAAAAATGATGAAATAGTTTTGTTCTACTCTATATATTTTTAGTATTTTAATATTTTATTGTATTGATACTTTATTAAATATAAAATATTTAATAAAACATTTTAAATAAAGATTATTATATTAATAATTTTTTAGAACAGTTATAATTTTGTTTTATAGTGTTTTTGAATATTGTTCAGCACACATTGATGCATAGATTATAATAGATTAACTAAATTCATCCATTCTTAAAATTTTTATTTGTATTTTCTTCACGTTTAGAAATCAAATTGCTAAATCGGTTTCTGTTGTGGCGATTGCTTTGCCACAAATTTAAAGATCTCCTAAATCGCTGTTGTTTAGAGATATCTACACATATAGATACACGAACACATACTTGATATACACAACAAGAAACAGTTAGACGCAAGTGTAAATCTCTATTTACTCTCTAGAGAGCCTTTTAAAGCAACGAATTTCTTGCGACCGTTTTTGCATTAGTTTGGCAATACGAGTCGCAGGTAGGGAAAAAAATAGGATAGATGAATATAAACTCGAGATGCACAATTAGGTTTCTGTAACTGATGTATGGTTTTATTAGATTTGTATGTTATTTTTACAAGAAAAGCATGTATAGCAAGAGAATTGTAATTTAATCTATTATTTTAAAATTAACGATGACAACCGAGATAAATACACGCGAAATAATATTT